TTGTGGGAAAATTCTACTACCAGTCCTTCATCACTTTAAACGAAATTGGGTGAATACATCTCATATTATTCATTTACTGGTAGTCTCGAAACTCCACGTAAAATACGAAAAGTAATATTATGGAGTCTACAGAAATTACGAAAATAGCCGTCTTGAATAGGAGGCCGAGTGTAGAAAAGTGAGTAGGAACTATTTGTGGCTATTGGATAGGTTTAGAGAGAAAGAAAGAGAAGGGAACAGGAAGAGCCACTGAACCAGAGGAGGCTGGATTATCTTCGAGTCTATCTAGGACCATCACAATTCCCATGACATGAACATTACATACATAAACAATAGATAATGGCTCAAACCGAATCATGAGTCAACATTAGAGGACCCTAGACTAGTTTATTTATGTAAGGAAGCAGTTGCCACCGGACGCACTTCCAGTTCGGGAAGTAACTTCACTCATTTGCAAGCATGTAGAGTAAGGCTGAAGTAGCCAACCAAATCATGGAATGTCTCATTAAGATAGCGCAGTTAAATGTATAAAGAACAACAAGGGTTGCAGTGGACCTCATTTTCCTTCGTTTAGAATATTTTTGCTCTATTTCCTAATGTATGGATTCCTGTTCTGATGATGTTTGCCGAAAGCTGGCGAAAGCTTAGCACCATACAAAAGAACCTATTTTAACATCGCAGATCCCATCATATTTAAAACAATTTTTGTTCAGCCACTTCCTCCCCAACTTCATTAATATACAAGCAAGAAGAGAAGACATTTCCATCGTCAAAAAAATCATGTGATCTCTGATTGAGATACACAAATTAGGCTTTAGAGTATATTTTATAGTTACAATTGACAAAGAATATTGGCTTACTGTTCAATGAATTTCATTAAAGTATGTTTTCTCGCTTGAGATTTCCTTGCAAAAATACAGACGAAAGTTCAGATCACATTCGTCGGGGTCACGATCATAACTCTTGAGCAATTTTTCTACACTTTCTGATGAGTCCAATTTATACATCCTTTTAATTCGATTTTTCATATAAAAAGCAAGCTCCATTGTAAATATTATTGAGTGATTTTTCTAAACGCGTCATATATTCCAAATTGTTTTGATTCACATGATTATTTTTGCCCTATAGTTTGTTACGTAATTAAATGATTATCCCTTATTCAAGAGCATTATAAGCATTTAAAGAATTAAATGCTTTGCTGAACTGATTTTTATTTATACCTTGATCACCTTAGTTTGCTTTAGGTGATTTAAGGATTGACGATTTAGCTTTTTTATACTAAGGGAACTAAGCCTTAGGTTTTTATTTGCTTTTACTTAATCTTGCTCCCCAAAATATTCTCGTATCCGAGGTGAACTGCGGTTTTTACTTCGCCCAGGCATCATTAGCAACCCCAATGGTATTCGATAACTGGTCTTAAGTATCGCAGCGACGTTACTACTCCACTACACAATCGAAGGTGCCAGTGGGTCACAGGATAAATGTGTAATTCAATATCTTATACATACTTTGAAAAGATCTACAGACTAGCAAAGCAAAATGAGAGGCCTTATTAGCCCAAATAGGGTGAAAAGATCGGTTGTGGAATCCGAAAATAAGATTTGATAATAGTTTTGCTATGCAAACGGCTGTTCATCACTTTCTCACTTCCTTTATTTCTTCTCGATTTCAACGTTTCCTTTGGGCTTTAGATAAATTAATCTTTACTAGTTCAAGTATCTGAAGTAAAATAGCGCCTGGGGTGAGATGGACACAGACTGGAATCGAGTGAAATCGGTCAACCAGAAAGATAAGGAACGGATCTACGAGACAATAAGGGGATCCGTATTGGAGGCCCGAGTCGGATCAGCCGATCGAAAGAGAGGGGGTCGGGGTGAATAGCAAGTGTGATGAGGCCACACTAGATTTGCCACCAAAGGGCACATTTTGACGAGTTGAATGTAAACAAGTGAGAAGTTGTGATAGGGCGGGATTGGGATTAGAGGATATAGAGTAGATAGATAGGCCAGGACAGAAAGGGGTGTGATAGTGTAACCGTTTTCGGCAGAACGCTTGTCGAGGGATTGACTTCACCTGTCTCTGACGGGTTCGTAGCT